CCCCCCCTTCCCACGCCCTTACACCCAGGACTTACACCCGGGATGGTTAAATCCATGAAGACGAAATTCCAATATAATTTAAAGGCAGTGAACGATAGATAGAGGAGGGAAGAAAGGCAGGTAGAAGGCAACATGAGGCAACTTATCGAGTAGTAGCCCCTTTCCCTTATCAAAGTCTACAAAGCGTGGTCGTAGCATGCCCAGTTCCTCGGAGTGGTTGATCCGGGAATGGACGATGACGTAGCCTTTGATGTGTGTAGGTTGAAAGATCAATTCTCCACGCGTGGGATGGCCCTTCACGTAAAATAGTTGTTCTGGTTGAATCTCCTTATTTACCGTTAATTGTACATTATTTTTATCGAAATAATGTCAAAAATTTCAAAAATTATGCTCTTGAATGCGAACTTCCTCAAACTCCCCAAACTCAACGAGGCTGTATTGTCCTGGGGCCAGGGCTACTCGTTCACAACTTCCTTCCAAATCAGTGCGCGACTGGAAAGTTCAGACTTCCAGAAATCCTTTCTGATCTTTGCTTATCAATGTGCCTGACTATCTGGTCTAATGTATTGCGATTTCAAGTGAATGTACAGCCTTATCGAAGAAACACTATTTTATTGTTCGCAAAAAATTTTTTCGAAAAATTTACAGAATGTAGAAATCACTACCATGGTCGCGAGTCAATCGTGTATGCAGCCGATTGTGGATAGAGCACACCACTAAAATCGGTAGAAATCATTTCCTATTGATTTACTTTGATTTAATGCTAGCAAACTTATTAGTTCGGTCATTTTAGGTGTTGAGCTCCTATAAAGCTGATGCCCTCCTATTTACCCTTCCTTTTAAGGAACTAGAAAAGCGTCCTATCGACGTTGTCCCGAAATTCTCTTCACTTGTCTACCCTAGGCATTGTAGATGCGGTAATTCGGTTTATTAGCTGGGCTTTGAGTGTCTGAACCGTTTAGACTTGGCGGACGTCCGAGCAATCGCCATGTGTTACATGCATATCGATCGCGTCGGCGCCATCTGAGGCTGGCAAGCAGACGGCTTTGCTGTTCTTTGTAGTTTCCATTTCTTGACGTGGTTTTTTTAAACCAGGGTGGTCGTCAGTAAAAACTCGTCCCGAATCTTCACAATGTCTGTGGAGGCCTCCCCGTGATTTTGCTGCCGGTGTGATTCATCACATCTAGGATGCGATCTATTATCGTTGAGTAATTATCGCCATTTGAAATAGGCTGTATGGTATGGGCCCATTTGTTCATCCTACAAAGATTCCATTTCCACTTAACTGCTTCGCTGAGGGCACAGCTACGATAAAAATGGTTTCTGAGATTCCCCCGCAGGATGAATTTGGGGCCCCCGCATGTCCCATATCTGGCACTATCAGTTCGGAAAACTGTCCAGATAGGGATTTATAAAGGCTCAAGTATTGGCCCGTGTGTATCCTCGGACGAGTTTCACCAGCACTGTAGTGGCTGCATCGATAACAAGGAACCCATGTAGGAAGTTCAAACAACTCGTCGTGACCCATAGCGACAGTGAAAGACAGTTCTGTACAGTTCTGGCTTGATTTAGTCAGCTCTTTGTGCAATTGCAATAACTGAAATCTCGTCCGAATACCCCTTCCATGTTAATTCCGTCATGACAATCTCGTCCAACCTCTATTTTCCCCACTTTTGAGGAGCCATATTTTTCTCGAAATCGGCGAAATCTCTCGCTTTGTTCACTACCTGTGAACTATTCCCAACCTGTACCTCCGCTCTTCGAATAAAACCTGTACCTCAAAATTATCGTGAGCTGTGCCTTCAGACCCAACTCAATCGTATAACTACGACGTGTTGAATGTATGGAATATTTTTGAAGAATTCTAGTTTTTTTCCAAATATTTTCTCTCAAAGATTGTTCTAGCACTCATACTAGGCAACGCCAATGACAGCAACACATCGTAGTTTACGACTGAAAATCGGAACACCAAACTGAGTCCGTTTGTGTTTACGAAAGCAAAGCAGCGTTACTGTCAGAAGCGTAATGCGATGTATGAATGCAGACAAGCTTTCGATTTATTGTAATAAGAAAAATTCAATCATTGCATCGAACTTGGCAACACGCTGACCATTTTCCGCCTTTACAGCGTAGTTGATTCGTAGAGATTGAGCCACCCGGTTGCATTGATGGAGACGGCAGAGGAATTCCAGCATAGCCTTCAGCAGGAGCAGACGGCGGTCTAGCGATCGGTACAGGATACGTCCCTGATGGTGGAGCAGTGGGATAGCTCGGGGGTACAATAACAGGTGGTTTCGGCGGTAACGGATAAGTGGGAGCCGGAGGGATTGGGTAGACTGGAGGAAGTGGCGAAGGAGGTGGAGGAGGTGGCGGTGAAGGTGGCGGAGGAGGTGGCGGTGTTACGTAAGTAGGCGTTGGTGGTCGTACATAAGAGGAAGGAAGAGGTGGTATTATAGAAGATGGCCTTATCGGGTACAACGGAGATGAAGGAGTAGCAGGTTGTATAACCGAAACTGGGGACACCGAAGGTGTCACTGATGGAGGTCCCATGGGTAGGACTGAAGACGGTTCCGGCATTGAGGGTTTAAGGGGTGCAGGTGGTCCAACGGGTGAGACTAGTGGGGGAGAAATCGGGGCAGGAGGTCCACGAGGTTCAACAACTGATGGCACCGGTGGGGAAATCGGGGCTGGGGGAATGATTTGTGGTTTCACGAGAGGTGATGGGAATCCAGGTAAATAGGTGGGAGGTTGCACTCCTGGGGGTTTAGCTGGGTATTCTGGCCCTGGCGCTGTTTTGTAACCTGGTGGCAAAGGGTAAACAGGATTAGGTGGAGGAAAGGGCCCTGATGGAGGTGTGGGAGGCGAAGGATGTGGCAAAGGGTAGAGAGGTCGAGGAGGAATGACTGGCACTGGGTAGCCATTAGATGGTCTGTCCGAGCATGCTCCACATTCACAGCAGACTGAAATGAGTATTAAGATCATATATGTATCCCATTAATTAATTTTTTCACTAAATTTCTTTTTGTTTGGTGCTCTACTACATTTTTTACGATTCAATAATTCAGTTGCTTCTTCTGACAACACTGACCAATCGTAGTGAACTTCGGTTAAATTAGGAATTTTTTTCAAAATAAGGCGTAGTAAAAAGGAAAAGAAATGCGTTCTTATAGAGTTTTCGCAACGAATCAGTGATCTACAGTACTTTGTAGGAGATCCCTCGGACTGAATCCCTCGGGTAGTCATGCGAACCGTAGGACGAGATCCAACGCGGTTTTCAGACTTCTCGACAGCAACTCTGAGAAAGGATTGTTTTCTTGGTGTTCATCGTGCAGGGACGTCCCAATGGACTACGCTGGCTCACGACAGAGTGGATGGAAACATTACTGGTACTCGCTTGAGGGTTCGGTGATCAATGGAACGACAGGTGACTTATGCAGCTATGGTGTTATATGAAATTTATATAAAGCGCTCGCGTCTGTCTGTCCGTCTGTCTGTCTGTCTGTTTGTACGGAAATTCATAACTTCTGTCTCCGAGGACCTAGGACGTTCAAATTTGGTAGGAACACAGGCGGCAGGATGGGAACACATATGGTGGGTGGCAGGAACGGACCCCGCCCACAGGGGGCGGGGTTTGTGCAACCAAAATGTTTCAGCGGAAAATCATAACTCCTATCCCCGTGGACCTACGACGTTCAGATTAGGTAGGAGCACACT